GTAAACCTTTTGTGAGGACATCAAAGCAGTGGACCAGTGAAGCTGCAGGATCCTCAGGCGTGTTTGGACTCTACTGACTGGGATGTGTTCAGGACTGCTACTGAAAGTCCGGACGAGTACACAGATGCTGTGACGTCATACATCAGCTTCTGTGAGGACTGCTGTGTACCATCAAGCACCAGGGTGAGTTATAACAATGACAAACCCTGGTTCACAGCCAAACTCAGACAGTTAGGGTTTCAGAAGGAGCAAGCGTTCAGGAGTGGGGACAGGGACAGGTTTAAGGAGTCAAAGTACAAGTTTAGCAAGGCGGTGAGAGAAGCTAAACAGCAGTACTCTGAGAAACTTCAACATCAGTTCTCAGCCAATGACTCTGGTTCTGTCTGGAAGGGGCTCAGACAGATAACCAACTACAAACCTAAAACCCCCCACTCCATCAACGACCTGCGCCTGGCAAATGAGCTGAATGAGTTCTGGTGTCACTCACGAAGGAGCAGACAGGTCTGTAGACGATGCAGTAAACATGGCTCTGCACTTCACCCTCCAGCATACCTATGCCAGGATCCTGTTTGTGGACTTCAGCTCAGCTTTTAACACCATCATCCCAGCTCTGTGACAGGACAAGCTCTCCCAGCTTACTGTGCCTGACTCCACCTGCAGGTGGATCACAGACTTCCTGTCTGACAGGAAACAGCACGTGAAGCTGGGGAAAAATGTCTCTGACTCTCAGACCATCAGCACCGGATGCCCCCAAGGCTGCGTTCTTTCTCCTCTGCTCTTTTGACTTGTGGGCCACACTGAGTTTTAAAATTTGACAGGGGGGCCAGGCGAGGAGCAGTGTTGGAGTGTTTATGTGAACTAATGTATATGACATGTACAAGCCATTATATAAAAGGATTGGCCTTTAAGAGTATATTATATACTCTTAAAGTAAAATATTTACAAATTATTTTACAAATGCATGTATTCATAACAGTAGAGAAAACTCATGTTCAATTTCAGTGGGAACAGTGTTATTACTCTCCCTTTTTTGCCAGAGCATCAAAGTCTGGGATTAGTTTTGTTGTGGCAATTCTCAGGATGGATCTGAGGTGCTGGTCAGTTAACTTGGATCTGTGACGGGTTTTGTTGATGTTCATGACGCTGAATGTCTGCTCACTCAAGTAGGTCGAGCCAAACACAATCATCTTCTGTGCCGTCCTCCGGAGGTTTGGAAACGTGGCTTCTTTCAGTGAAGCATAAAAGTCATTCAGTTTAAGAGAGTTAAACCTCTCCTTTAAGATAGTCAGACTAAAGATCGATCAGTTCCAATTGCAGGTCAGGTGGTGCTGTTTTGTGGTCGTGTGACGGGATAGGACACCAGCTGAAGTGACTAAACCGACGGCAGAATTCTCTGTACAGGTCGTCCAGTGATTTGCTGTATTTCTCCTCATTTTGGGTGGTGTCTTTCTGCGTGGCTATTGTGGGTAAATGAGCGAAAGATTTGTTTGAAACTTGTCTGGAGAATAAAGTCAGCTTGGATTTAAAGGCTCTCACATTTGTGTACATGTCGTGCACAAAGTGATCTTTTCCCTGTAGCTTCACATTCATGTGGGAAAATATGTCCACAGCAAACGCAAAGTCACAAAGCCAGGTCTGGTCACTCAACTCAGAAATTTGTTGGATTTCCCCTCTGACTCCAAAAATGTGCGACTCTCCTCTTTGAGCTCCCACACTCTCTGAAACACTTTGCCCAAACTTAACCAGCGGACACGAGAGTGGTAAAGTAAGTCCTGGTGATCCATATCAGTTTCCTCCAGGAACGCAATGAACTGACGGTGCTGGAAGCCCCTTGCTTGTGTACAGTTCACAAGTTTTACCACTGGATTCACCACATGATTAAGCTGCAATACAGACTAAAGCCCTATTCGCACGGGACTAGTATTACCTGGGGACCTCATGTGATATAGTAATTACCCCACCACGTCTGTGTTTCGTGCGGCGCATTCGCACGGGATACGCAACTCGAATTTACTGACATTATCCCCCGGATATGATGTCAAGGCTCTGCGTAACCTGTGCGTAACAGTCTGTTACTGATCTCACGTTACCTTTGCTGGTACCGTCGGGCCCGCGGATCACCGTGCACTCCTCTATGGGCGACTGCGGCTCAGAGGCAGAGCGGGTCGTTCCTTAATCGGAAGGTTGTGGGTTCGATCCCTGGCTCCTAGTGCCACATGTCGAAGTATCCTTGAGCAAGATACTGAACCCCAAATTGCTCCCGATGCCGTGCATCGGTGTGTGAATGTGTATGAATGTTAGTTTCTGTTGGATGGACTTTGCCATCATCTGTGTGAATATGTGTGAATGTGTGTGAAAGGGTGAATGTGGCACGTAGTGTAAAAGCGCTTTGAGTGGTTGGAAGACGCTGTACCTAAGTACAGGTCCATTTACCATTTATGCTGCCGAGCGGCGGCTTCAACATCTTTCTCACATCAGTGTCCGTCTGCTGTTTTCCCAGCATGCCCACAAACATCAAAATGCTGATAAAACTTTCATTTATAATTGCCAACGCAGCCTCCATAATTCTCGACCAGGAAAAAAAAAAAGGTGCCGCAAACACAAAAAACCTAAAAAACCTTGGCGATATATGGTAGGTAATTTGCGGTGGAACTTTTACTTTACAAATTACAGACATGGCAGATTTGCACGGGATTAAGATCACAGACGACCTCCACAATTATTACAAATTACTAGAGGTCCCCAGGTAATAAGTCCCGTGCAAATAGGGCTTTACACAGAGATTCCTGATGAATGATGCAGTGAAGGATAATAACATCCTGGTCAGTGTTTTCCTCTTTCACTTGATCCTGTATTCTTTTCAGCAGCCCAATGTTTTTTCCAGTTAAATTTGGCGATCCATCCGTGGTGACATTGGCAAGTTTACTCCAAGGTAGCTTCTTTCTCTCGATGACAGCAGACACGCTGTCATATAAGTCCTCTCCCCGCGTCTTGCCTTTCAGGGACTCCATGGTTAAAAACTCTTCCGTTATCTCAAAACCTTCGTTAATCCCTTGGATAAAAATTAGGAGTTGAGCAGTGTCTTTTATGTCGTTACTTTCATCCAGTGCTAATGAATATAACATGAAGGACTCTGCCTTTTTTGTTTAACTCACTGGCAATATCTTCATCAATCAGTTCCACAGGGCGAGTCACTGTCCTTCGCGATAAACTGATCTTTTCAAACTTGCCTTTGCTCTCCGGACATAGGAGACCTGCTGTCTCTATCATGCAGTCTTTCAAAAACTCACCTTCTGAGAAAGGCTTGCTAGCCTTTGCTAATTTGAATGCCAGCAAAAAACTTGCCTTGGTACTGGACTCTACTTGAATCGCAGTCTGTCGGTGAAAAAAGTTTTGCTGAGTCTGTAAATTAGCCATCAACCTCTCAGCAGTAGCCAGCCGTTCTTGCGCTCACTGCTTGCTAGCATAGTTAGCATGCTTCGTTGCAAAGTGACGGCTGATGTTGTATTCTTTAAAAAATGATATCGTTTCCTGGCATATCAGACATACAGCCGTTGATTGGACATCAGTGAAAAAATATTTTGCTGTCCACTCCTTATTAAACACTCGGCACTCACTGTCCACTTTTCTCTTCTTTTGTCCGCTCATTTTTACAGAAGGGCTCAATATGCAATGTAGAAAAAGTAAAGTTGAGAGTCATGCTGCATTCAAGTGCGTTTGGAAACATCAGATAAACAAGTCCCGAGTTGATCTGGGAAAGATGTTATATTCGTCATCTAAATGTCAGCAAACGATCTTTTGTGATTTAAAAAACTTTGCCTGTCAATGTTTAGCTCAAACATTTTTAATAACAACGTCCACATAAGTGATAGTTAGAAAAGTGATTTATCAACAACAGCTTGGGATTTAACCGTAAATAAAGAGCCAAATCGCCAATCAAAATGACTGAATGTTTATTTAGGATAATCCAAGGAGCACCTGAATGCAGCATAAAACACCACACTCCAACAAGGATCATTGGGCGCCAAATGGGGAAACGTGGAGAGGATGTACTTCCTGCGGCAGTTGAGGAAGTTCCACCTGCCAAAGACGATGATGGTGCACTTCTACACCGCCATCACCGAGTCGATCCTCACCTCTTCCATCACCATCTGGTACGCTGCTGCCACTGCCAAGGACAAGGGCAGACTGCAGCGTATCATTCGATCCGCTGAGAAGGTGATCGGCTGCAATCTGCCAACCCTTCAGGACCTGTATGCCTCTAGGACCCTGAGGCATGCAGGCAAGATTGTGGCTGAGCCCTCCCACCCCGGAACAAACTCTTTGTTACAGTTTCTCTCTGTCTGCAGCTGGCCTCATTAACAAGGCCCGGAACCCCCTTTGACACTGACTCTTATACCCTCCCTGTATATATGCATTACATTAATGCACTCCCGTCTTCTGCACAGTTTTCTTTCTTTCTTAGCTTATTTATTTATATCTTAAAAGTACTTTATTTGTCTGTGATTTTTGTGTGATTTGTATATGTATATTTGTATTTTTTATGCACCAACGCACCAAGTCACATTCCTCGTAGACGCAAAAACCTACTTGGCAATAAACGATTCTGATTAAACGATTCTGAGGTGTTGGTGCGGTTGGCCAGAGCCAGGCCTGCTTTCACTTAACGCTGAAAAGCCGAAAAAGCTTTAATGTTACTGTCTTTCATACTTATTCAAATGTCTTTTTATTAAAGCATCCAATTTAACATACATCTAACAATTCAAAATTCAAATAAACTGTAAACATAAAGTGCTACAACATTAAAACAAGGCAAAGCCTAACAAGACAAGTAACAACAAGACAAAGTTTAAAAAAAACAAAAAAAACTTTCTTGTTAACAATGCCAGCTATTCTTATCACAATAAAAAAAAATTACTTCTGGAATTGAATTGAATTTTTATTTAATTGGATTGTGAGTGGTGATATTCTGAAACCTTCTTCTCCATCCTCTTTCACAGTGTTTAAGTGCCAGTCTCTGTGGTTGGAGCACAGAAACCTGGCAATCCAGTTCCACCTGGAGTGCGTCTACACTAGTCTGAACTACTATGAGTACCAGCCTGCCAAGGAACACATCAAGAAAGCCCAGGAGCTCTCAGGGCTGAATATCAACGTGACTGGTACGTAAAGTACAGCAGCATCTGATGTTGAAGGATAATTAAGTTAAAAATAACAGACAACACAAGAGGAGGCTGTTATACCTTCTAATGATCAAGCCCATATTGATAAAGCATTGGTGATACCTGGATTGAATGTGATTGTATCTGGTTAATCAAGGTGCTCTTGGCAAACGGACCCGTTTCCAGCACAAGTACCTGGCTCAGCTCATCCTTGATGTCAAAAGAAAGCAGGGCCAGTCTGGTGAGACTGATAAGGAGCCCAGTCCCACTCCAACACCTCAGACCAGCCTGCCCAAGGTATGAGCTTTTGTTGTCTTCTTTCCAGCTTGTTTTTTAAAATTCTTTATTTATTACTTTGAACCTTTTATTGCATATCATAAATATTACATTCCATTTCTGCAAATAGATCCTTTGAAACAATGGAATTTTGAACTTTTAAAGTTGCTATTTATAAATGCAATTTACAGGCAAAACATGTTACATTTTTAGAAAGGAAGTCAAACAATAGACCAATTAAATTTAATTGAGATTAAAAAATAATAAAAAATTAAAGCTGCAAGCAGCGTTGGGAGGGACCTCGCACTCCACGCAACTCGGGGCGTGCTGCGGCCGCGTCACGTGCCATCGTTACACGTGCGGACCAAAACATGAAATTTCCCGTAAATCAGCTCAAAATTGCCACGCAGCGCTTACTTCCTGTTGCCAGTAGGTGGAGCTATCACTATGTCTTAATATTGTCATGTAGACGAGTTCAGGGCAGGACTGTTATAACACATATGAAGTTTCATTGAGATTGGACCACGTACGCTGAAGTTATGAGGACGTGTTCAGGGCGAGACTGTTACAGAATATATGAAGTTTTTTGGAGATTGGACATTGCACACTGAAGTTATGAGTGCTGTTTTATGGCGAATCGGCTGAATTCGATAAGTCGTCACCGGCACGGCCATTTCACGTAACTCAGCTCAAAATCTCCACGCAGCGCTTACTCCCTCTTGCCAGTAGGTGGCGCTATCACTATGTCTGAATGTTGTCATGTAGACATGTTCAAGGCGAGAGTTATCATTTCATTGAGATTGGACCACGTACACTGAAGTTTTGAGGACGTGTTTAGGGCAAAACTGTTTCAGAATATACGAAGTTTATTGGAGATTGGACATTGCACACTGAAGTTATGATTACTATTTTATGGCGAATATGCTGAAATCGACAAGTTGTCACTGCACGCGGTTTGATGTACAGTCACAAATAGCTCAACTTTTCAATCATTTTGTATGACCACAGAATTCAAAGTGGCCAACTTTGACCTCACTTCACAGACACGCCGTTCAACGTACAGTCTCAAATAGCACGACTTTTAATCAGCACCATTTTTTGACTATATTGGCCAATTTTGAAGTAGATCCGATAAATTCCCAAGGAGGAGTTCGTTCAAATACAATGCGAAAATTCACCGAAAATGCGCACGGAATTCACTATGGCCAACTTTGACGGCACGCCACGGACACGCCCTTCAACGTACATGCACAAATAGCACAACTTTTAATTAGAACCATTTTTTGACTGTACTCACAAATTTTTAAGCAGATTCCATAAATTCCCTAGGAGGAGTTCGTTCAAATACAAAGCGATAAGTTCGCCGAAAGTGAAAATCAAAATCAAAATGGCCGACTTCCTGTGGGGTTTCGGGTATGTGTCCAAGAGGCTTTTTTGTACGTCCCGGCATGATACACATGCCTACCGAGTTTCGTACATATTGGTGAAATGTGGCGCCAGGGCTGCTTTTTTTTATCCTGTAGGGAGCGCTACAAACACGATGAATATGTTTTTTTTGTATGTGAGCTTCAGGCACCACTCTACACGTGCCCTGTGAATTTCATATTCATAACTATTACGGTCTCTGCACAGTGATTTATCATGCCAAAAGACCGCCACCTAGTGGCGGATTGCTGACACAATTTTTAGCGAGCCCCAGGGAGCCATGGGGAAGCATCGTACAGAGTTTCATTTTAATCACACATGCAGTTGTGGAGATATAAACTTCTTCATTTTAAAGAGCGCCACCTTATGGAAATGGCCTGAAATTGTGCACGATGCCTAAGGAAGACATGGGGAACTATGGACCCAAGCTTGGTGTCAATCGGACATACCAATGTGGAGAAATCATCCACTTCCTTTTTTGACGAAAAATCCACAGCGGTCGCTGGCTCGGTCCCTAATAATTTAAATATTTTTCCTAGCTTGGTCGTTTATAATATATGTTACCTTTTCTGTGTCACATAAGACTGTGATAATCCATGTGTCACGTGTGTCTGTGAAAATGAGAAAACATTTTATTGCATTGAATTATTACTGTATGAGCACTCAACCACTTCAGGTAGGGCGCAGAGGCAGAGCGCGTCGTCCCCTAATTGGAAGGTTGTTAGGTCGATCCCCGGCTCCTGGTGCCACATGTCGAAGTATCCTTGAGCAAGATACTGAACCCCGAATTGCTCCCGATGCCGTGCATCGGTGTGTGTGAATGCATTAGTTTCTGTTCGATGGGCTTTCGCTGTGTGTAATTGTGTGTAAGTGTGACACGTAGTGTAAAAGCACTTTGTGTGGTCGGAAGACTAGAAAGGCGCTATACAAGTACATTTACCATTTACCATTCATCATGAAGTGCTAGTCAAACTCTTGCACCAAAACATCAACCAGCAGAAAAGAGAAGCTGTTGATAGGCATTGTGCTCTCTTAGCTTGAGAGAGAGCAGAGGAATAAATGTGCTTTTGAGAGGGACATACAGCTTTAAACAACCCCACACACACTTGCAGCACTGTAATTGTCTAATTTTCCGTCATACCTTATAAGTCTCCCATTCATCCCTTCTGCGCTTTTCCTCACTCTATTTTGGGTACCTATACAGTAAATCACTCTCCTGCTGAGTCCTTTTGTCCTTCTTGCTTATAGTGTGTGTTTATGCAGCATGTTAATTTACCTTCCACTGCTTGGTTCTACCATCTAGTTTGGCACTAGTACACATACTCAGAGGAGTAAGATGTGAGAGAGAGAGAGAGAGAGAGAGAGAGAGAGAGAGAGAGAGAGACAGAGAGAGACAGAGAGAGAGAGAGAGAGAGATAACTCCTCGTACTTTAGCCAGTATGGCTGTAAAATGCATATTACATTGCATTCTGCAGTCATTTTAAAAGTCTCAAAACATCTTAAATTTAACTTTAAACCATCACAATAGCCCTAAAAGAGGGACACCCTATGAAGACTTTTATTAATATAAAATCCAAGCGCAAAACAAAACATTGTAACACTGACCCATTAAATTAGTAATCAGAAAATGAATAATGTCCACAATCCTAAACATTTAAATAGTGTCCAATAATAGTACTCAATTGTGCAAAATTTTAGTGATATACATACTCCTTCATAAAATATAAATTGTTTGTCCTATTATGTAAAATTGAGTAATTGTCCTAATAAAAGGGATGGCCCAACCCTCACCCATAGTCACAATCTTAGGGGTTAAAAGCTGATTAAATTAGTTTCATCTTTAGAGTGGCTGGACTCCATCTTAGTGATAAGCTGAGGAGCTCAGACATTTGGAGGGAGCTTGGAGTTGAGTTGGTCCGGATATCTGATAAAAATGCCTCCTTTTGTTGACTGCCAATATTCCAGAACTCCAGTGATTTAGAACAACTACCGGGCATATGTTTTAGCTAGCCATATATTAGCCTACATTTAAAACACGGAAAACACAAATGCTTTGATGTAAATATATAACTGATGAAAACAGATGAAAAAATGTGAGATGATGGAAACTAAAAACAGAATGATGCAAACGATTGTTTCTGGCTCTGGCAATCTCAGCACACGTTTGGATGACTGGATGAGGATTTGAAAAACGTATCTTGAGCTAAAGAATACAAGAAGACTAGTTTTAAGTTCTTTTTTTTCTCAATTACTCACACAGGCACAAAATACAATCATGAGACAGTGGAGTGTTGGGCTGACACATGGTGGTGCCCTGGGAGCAGTTAGATGTTAAGTGCCTTGCTGAAGGGCACCTCAGCAGTACTCAGAAGGTGGAACTGGCATCTCTCCAGTCACCAGTCCACACTCCATAATGTGGTCCGTGTTGGACTTGAACCGGCAACCCAGAAAGAAAGAAATGTTTAATTTTTCTGCTTTATGCCATGGTTCTGGGGTTCTGGGTCAAAACATAAAGTGCTTTATATATGGTCACATGGAGGCACCTTCTGCAATATTTTTTGGGATATTGTGCTAACATAAAAAAAAGGCTACCCCAATTGTTTTAGTTTCTTAAAAATGCCAGTTTGCAAAACCACTCTATGGTCAGTTGATGAAGTGCAGACGTATCTAAAACACATATCCTCTGTCATAAGAGTAACAGCATATTTTTGTGTGCATAGTTAGTCTATGGATGAGCGAAACAAAGAGCAGTGAAGCTGTCAGTCTAGCAGTAAATGTACACTGTAGGTTAAAGTTTGTCAGTGAATAAAGGCTGCAGCTTCTCAAGACCAAAGTAAGGCTCTGTTGTTTCCCAACTGCGTGAGTAGTGTCATTCTGATGTGTAGCTCTGCCTATGTTGAGGGGGTACTATCCAAAGTACTGTCTACAACAGAGAACAAAATAGAGGTACCAAAAGTGAGTAGAGTTGTAGAGCATGTGTGAGGGATCAGTAATTAAGTTGTAGGTCTTTTTATGTTTTTTCCATAAAGTTTGTAGCTGCAAGTCGTGTCAAATATGTAAGGCTCAGTCCAGTGTTTCTAAAACTTTTTACACTGCCTCCCATCTCAAAAAATATCAGTGCCAATGTTAAAATACAGCAGCGTAGGCCGACCCTATTCAGCTACAAACAGTTCACGCAGGAGGCACCAGTGATACATGTACCATAATTTGAGAACTAGTGGCACTAAAGCATACTGACTTACTTGGCAGCAGTTGTTTTCATGTGCCATGGTTATGGCTGCAACATGTGTGTGTACACATCTGACTCTGTGTTCTTCCATGCAGGACTATAGTCTGGGTGATGACACCGTGCTGGATAATATCAATTTGGCAGAGCCAGATCAGTATGAGCTGCCTGACCTCAGTGCAGAGGAGCAGGCTGTCATTCTGGGCGTCTGGTAAGTCTACTACCTTAAAAGTCCGTACTACAGCACTCAATCGATCCAAGTTTAAAACAGTTTTGTTAAAAACACTAACAATAAAGGTCTCATGCATTCTCCACAGACCTATGTGTCTCTCTGACTTTGCTAACACCTTGGAAAAGGTGACTCTTTTTACATATCCACATATCCACTCACTGGATAATTGCTTGGGCAAACTGATTCACCATGTTTCACATTTGGTCTGATTTTGTTTCCTTTTTGTCTATGGTAAATGATAAATGGATTGTACTTAAATTGCGCCTTCCTTGTCTTCTAACCACTCAAAGTGCTTTACACTACATGTCATATTCACACACCGTTAGCACAGCATCAGGAACAGGGTTTAGTATCTAACTCAAAGACACTTCAACATGCAGCATACAAAAGCACTGTAAAAAATTGCAGGCTGTTCAATGGGCTTTGAAATTCTTGAATATAATCAGAGAGAAATAGAGTATGAGACCTTTGAACAAATACATCACAGTAATAAGGTTATGAAGGAATTATGTATATGATTGTACTAGTAGATCGCAACCAAGAGAAAGGAGAGTAGAAGAGGACAAATACATTATTAATAATATTATTATTATTATTATTATTATTTGGATTAAACAACAACAAGTAAATAGAACAAATAAAAAATCTAACAATTCACCTTCCCTTTTTTCTATTTATTATCTATATTCATGTGTATACACCATTTGGACCAATTCTTATGGAATTTATTGATACAAAGTTAGTAGGTCGATGGTCAGTTTCTCCATTTCATAGATTTCTATTATTATTGCTATCCACTCTTTTGTTGGTGGGTCCTTACCTAACCATTTCTTAGTTATTGCTTATATATATTATAATATATACTTATTATTATACTTATTTGGAGTATTGCCTAAATATAAGGTGCCAACACTATAATCCATCTCAAAACCCATTATTGATTTTATTTCTGTTACTATCTCTAGCCAATAGGATTTGAATACTGGAAAATTCCAAAATATGTGAAAGTGATCAGCCTTTGAATCGTTCCATCGTCTCCAGCATTGCCCAGAATAGTCTTCTAGTCAGACATTCACATAGCGATGGCAAAGCCCATCAAACAGAAACTAACGCATTCATTCACACACGATGCACAGCATCGGGAGCAATTTTGGGTTCAGATACTTCGACATGTGGCAGGAGTAGCCGGGGGTCGAACCAACAACCTTCTGATCAGGGGATGACCTCCTCTGCCTCTGCGCCACAGCCGCCCATTCTGTAAATATTTCCTTCTTGGAGAATAAAAAAAACCTGATAATGTTCTTCCATGAAAATTCTCTCCACTGGCAAGAACAAGAGGTGATGGATTGTGTTTTACACATATTTAGCCACTCTTCTTCAGTCAGCGTTATGTTTGCTTCCTTCTTCCATTTTCACTTTAATATACTTCATCATTAAAACCGAAACGCTGTAATACAAGATACAAATGCTCCCATTACACAGAGTCAAAAGCCTTTTCTGCATCAAGGCTAATTGCCAGAGATTTTAAACTGGTTTTACTCATTCTATCAGTCAGGTATAAAGCTCGCCTCACATTATCTTGTGTCTGCCTGCTTTTAATACATTATGTTTCGTGGGTGTCAATCAAGTCAAGAATCATATTTTCTAGTTTTGCAATTATTGAGGCAAATCATCTAACAGAAATAGGTCTGTATGAGCTACATTCTTACCTTTCCTTTCCCACCTTTGGAATCACAAATGTTATAGCCTGTCTCCATGACACTGGGGTTCTCCACCCTTAAGAACATAGTTGAAACATTTTAAAAGCATAGGTGTCAACAAGTCAGTGAATCTCTTGCACCACTCTGCTGGAAACACTTGTCCTCTGTGTACTTACTCTGAAGTTTTGATATGGCATTATCGATCTCTGCGTTTGTGATTTCTTGTGTTACCTATTTGTCTTGTTCTACCCCTACAGATAGTAAATCTAGAGATTCCAAGAAGGTTTTTATGACAGAGGGTTCCGCTGCTCTAGGTTGAGAGTATAGCTCCTTTTATAGTATTCTTCAAAAGGCTGGTGTATATCTTCTGGTTTATAACTGATTTCTGGTTCATTGCATTTATTTGTTCCAGTATTTAGGTAGTATTTAGTATTTTCATTTAACTTGGATTAAACATCCATATTAAGTCTCAAGTATATTTCTGCATGATCTGATACGTCTTTAGTCCCTATCCTGTAATCTAGGATTCTGTGTCTCTTAGTAGAACATAAAAAAAAAATCAATCCTCGACTAGACAACACGGGAATGGGAGAAGAAAGTAACTGCTTTTAGTGATGGGTGGAATTCCCTCCATATATTAATATACCAATCCCTTTAAGCAATTTTCTTACAAATATTACAATCTAAGCTGGGGTGCAGCTGTGCATTACAGCCGACTCCACAAATTATGATACCAGAAACCTCTTTGGCGATTATATGAAATATTTTCTTAACTAGTAATTTGTCCTGTCCTGGTGGTCTATAAACATTAAGCAATGTTACTTCCCTCAAATCAAGAATATAATCAGAATTCTTGTGTGGTATAAAGTCTTCAGTATGCTTCAAAAGAACTTGAATGTGTTGTCTGACCATGAATAACAATAAAAATGCTATACCTGTTTTGAGTGGTCACACTTGAAATGTCAAATTCTGTATAGGACCAACACCTGGGAGGGGTTCAGTTCCCCTGTGAAATAGTTCTTAGGCTTTAGACCACTGCTCAAATTTCTATGAGCTAGAAACATTAAACTTGGCCCACTGACAAGAAATTATGTGCATTAGGTTCCCAAGAAACATGTGTCCAGTTGGCTAGAAGTTGGCGGTGTAACTAAGGGTTAAAGTGTCAGTTTTGGAAAGGCGACAGCCCTCACACCATGAGTCCAATTGACTTGAAAATTGACACACAAGTACAGCTCAGTGTGCTCTACAAAAAGAATATATCTTTTCAAAAGGTGGGGTTTAGCATTAAATGGTTCCATTTAATGTCTTTTTATTGTCATTTTCACAGTATATGCAGCATTTTACATAAATGAAATTAAACTTGTCCTCTGCATTTGACCAATCCTATATACAGTCAAGCCTGAAACTATTCATACCCCTGGCAAATTTTGACTTAGTTACTTTTATTCAACCAGAAAGTTTTTTTTTTTTGACCGGAAATGACACAGGCTTCGCACAAAAGATAATAAGACGATGTACAAGAAAAAATTTCTCAGTTTATATTTACATTTGAACAAAAAGTGGCATGTCCAAAATTATTCATACCCTTTGCAAACTGTCACAGTCTATGGCAAAATCCAAAGTTACCATTCCAAATAGTCCAAGCTGTTCTAAAGCATCCTGATTACCTAGACTCATTGGAAACAGCTGTTTGAATCAACTCAACAGGTGAAAAACAGCAGTTGGTTGGTTTGTGGACAGTCATGGCTAAGACAAAGGAGCTCACTGAGGACCTGCGGCTGTGCATTGTGGCTGCTCACAAGTCAGGAAAGGGCTATAAGGCAATATCTAAATGTTTTCAAGTTCCAGTGGCTACAGTGCAAAGTATTATTAAAAAATACAAGACGTTCCGCACTGTGGGAAATTGCAGAGGACGTGGTCGGAAGCCAAAAGTGACTCCTGTGCTGGCCAGGAGGATTGTGAGAGAGGTGAAAAAGAATCACCACCAAGGCCATCCTGGTGAATCTGGGCTCTGCTGCTGGCAACATCTCAAGGCAGACAGTCCAATGGACACTGCACACTGCTGGTTTCCACGGACGCAGACCAAGGAGGATGCCACTTCTCCAGATAAGGCACACAAAACCCGCTTGGCCTTTGCAAATGCTCATCTGGACAAAGAAGAAGACTGCTGGTCTTCTGTTTTATGGTCAGATGAAACAAAAATGCAATCGCTAGGCCACAATGATGTATCCTTCATTTGGCGTAAAAAAGGAGAAGCCTTCAACCCTAAGAACATCATCCCCACTGTCAAACATGGTGGTGGGAACCTAATGCTTTGGGGGTGTTTTTCAGCCAATGGACCAGGGAACCTAATCACAGTAAACGGCACCATGAAAAAAGAGCAATACATCAAGATTCTCAACAACATCATCTGGCAGTCTGCAGAGAAACTTGGGCAATAGTGGACATTTCAGCACGACAACGACCCAAAACACACAGCAAAAGTGGTGAAGAAATGGTTAGCGGACAAAAACATTAACGTTTTGCAGTGGCCCAGCCAGAGTCCTGACTTGAATCCAATTGAGAATCTATGGAGGGAGCTAAAGATCAGGGTGATTGCAAGGAGACCCTCCAACCTGGAAGAGTTGGAGCTCATCACTAAAGATAAACATACCAGTGGAGACATGCAAAAAGCTGGTCAGCAATTATAGGAAGCGTTTGATTGCTGTAATTGATTATTGAGAAGGGTATGAATAACTTTGGACATGCCACTTCTTGTTCAAATGTAAATAAAAGCCTGAGAAATATTTTTTTCCACAATGATGCCTTTTGTACATGGTCTTATTATCTTCTGGGAGACGTACGCCTGTGTCATTTCCAATCAAGAAAAAACTTGCTGGGCGAATAAAAGTAACTTTAATTCAAAATTTGCCAGGGGTATGAATAATTTGGGGCTTGACTGTACATTAGGAGCTAGGAGGGGTTAGGTGCCTTGCTCAAGGGCATCTCAGCAGTGCACAGGAGGTGAAACTGGCACCTTTCCAGCTACCAGTCCAGTTCCCAAGCCAAGTCCCTACACACTGAGCTACTGTCACCATTTCTCCAATCATCACAAAACTCTAGATAGATTACATTGTGATTGGGAAGAGGGCTACTAAAGTAGTTTGGGTTCGACCAATAGGGACGCCACAAATACCATAAACGCATACCAGAAAAACTGGTCAAACAGAACTTCACAAATTTCAGTGTGTGTGTGTGTGTGTGTGTGTGTGTGGTCTGGGACCAAGTATTAACCAAAATCTGGGCCACTTTCATATGTGGTGCTAAGGCTTGCAGTGTGAACATAGCCTATGAGCAATCCTGATTAAACTCACGTGAGACATCCCAGGCGACCTCCTGGACGTACCCACAGAATACCGTTCAAATCGAATAAAGGGTGGCTCAACAGTGCCCCCTAAACTGCAGCCCCTGCAGCACATTTCACTGATATGCAGGAAAATGGGTACAATCATATATCATGTCCACACGTACAAAAAAGCCTAATACCCCAAACCCCAAAAAGTCATCAAAATCTTGAGTTATCATCGGAGGGCGTGTCCGTGGTGCCAAATTTTGATGTTTTGCCATGAAACAGGAAGTTGTTGTAACTTCAGTGTACATTGTCCAATTTGCACTACATCTACAAGCTAATAGTCGGTCATAATCATAGTACCACCTGCTGGCAACAGGAATAAGGGTTAGGGTTGCCTTGTTTGACAGTCATCATCTGATTTATGTGCAATTTCTATGGTGTGGTCTACACATGATGTGCTGGCATGTAATGCAATCACCGCACGACACACACGGACTGGCTTCTTTTGTTACTTCATTTGCCAGCGACAAAGGTTGCTGCTTGAGTTTAACACATTAAAAAGTACCCTGGGATTATGATTATTTTTGTCAATAAGATAAGAAAAGTGTTGACTAGCTTTTTTGAGAGCGATTTGGTACATTTATCTAAGAGACCCTTCAGAATTTGAAATGAAATCTGCAATTTATCCCACTTCCACTACCGTGCTGCCCTTCTGCCCTAAAGGGGAAATGGGAAATAAATTGGTTTGGTTTGCAGTTTATCATATGGATTATTCGTCTGCAGTAATGGCAGTGTTGACCCAGGGTCAGGAGGGTATGGCAAGGGATACTCAGTAAACTTAGAACAACATGTGGTTTTACCACACTCACCAAACACACACATATATTTACACACTTTCAGAGAGAATGAACCAGGTGGTAATCTTACTCCATTCTACAGCTGCACCTGTAGGCCCCTTTGGTCTTCTGTCCACTTTCGGGCTATTTCCTATGCTAATATAATAACTAGTAAGTACTGCCTGGAGGATTGAGTGAAAAGGGGTGAATAATGTGTTAAGACTAAGACTTCTTGTATTATATCAACCTGGCGGTGTATTTTCCGCCAGTTATTAATTCAATTCAATTCAATTTTATTTGTATAGCACCAATTCATAACAGAAGTTATCTCAGGACACTTTTCAAATAGAGCAGGTCGAGACCGAACTCTTTATAACATAATTATTGTAATTATTATAAGTAATTATTGCAGCTAATCTCGATGAAATCCAAATCCTTTAGTCTGAAAATAAGTCAGCACCTGCTGACATCACAGGATACTTTAACAGTTATCCCACCAAAGTTTATTGTATTTAAGCTTGATGCACTTTCTGAAAAATGGTCAGTCAGTCATTTGGATAACAAATTAAAAAAAAAATTCTAAGAATAATAAGTAAACACTGTGAAGTACTGTCGGTATTCAGCTGGCAGACTTCAGACTCAAAAGAGATAAGCCATCCCCTTTTTGCAGGTGTAATTTTTATTTGAAGTTGCATGGCCCTAGGAATGGCAATATTAGTCTGTCAGTCAGTCCAACACTTTGATCCAGACTGAAATATTCCAACAGCTATACACAGTGCCCCAATGAAGAATCCCACTTTGGTGGTCCCCTAACTTTTCCTCTAGCATCATCATGAGTTTGAGTTTCAGAGTGAAAATAAACATTGATCACAAAAAACCACAATATTTCAGAGTGAAATATCTTGACAACTGTTGAATGGGGGCCATGAAATGCGACACACATTCAAGGCCCATAGAGGATAAATTCTAGTGGTTGACCGATATGGGTTTTTCAATGGTCAGTGCCATTATTTAGAGAGCAGAGCTGGTGATGTCTGATATATAATGCTGATATCAAAACAAAGAGAAATCATGTATAATTTTATTCTATTTTATACATTTTATTTTATATAAATTCCAGCATATATTTACAGCAGGATGTATGAACGTTATTGTTACAGGGCTTATTCACAACCTTCTCAAAACTCACACGAGAGAGTGCTAACATCGTTCCACAGCAGCCACACTGACAAGCTTTTTTTTTATCTCCTTGTGAGCACAGACATTGGCTGATGCTTAAAATGCTAGATAATAGGGCTGATGAATCGCATGCTGGTTATTCTTTATTTGGTGTTTTGTTATTTATTAAAATAACACAAGAAGTATAAGATGGATTGTGATGAAATGAATCTGGTATAGACATTCATGCAGGCCCCCCCTCTCCAGCATCCCTCAGCTTCACAGAACCTGTAGCATGGTTGGAGACTCTTTCATAATGTATACACTGTTGACCAAGAGTGTTGTCTTGCAGCACTGACTTCCAGAAGAATAACCCTGTCCACAAACTGACTGAAGAGGAACTCCTGGCCTTCACATCTGTAAGTCATTGTTTATTGTTGTTATTTATTGATTTATAACTTAATGTTGTAGTTACAAATACTTGTTGTTTGGTTGTTCTGTATATTTAACCCAGCATTCATACGTTCACATTGCAATAATGTTAATAGTGTCTATTGGTGACCTGTGTTTCTTTGAACAGGACACAATGTTATTAAAAATCCTGAAACCCATAGACTTTGAGCACTATATAAATCTAAACTGTCAGCATATTACGTATCATCAACACTTTTGCTTCCCCTGCAATTATTAGTCAACAACAGCAATACTAAGCTGAAGGCTACCTTTTATAGTGTTTCAGCATCACACCCAAACACAAACCACTGTTCTGAACTGATAAAATGACTCACCTAAAGGAGAACTGCAAGAAACCTGTGCACAAGTGGTAAAAAACGGAACTATAAATCTATGTTGGCAACCCAAATCCCACGTTACATACCAACTCACTGTTTTATGAAAGCAGCTAGAGCTTCCTGACAAACCTAAAGCAACATTAAAGCAACTATTTTACCTTTAAAATAATGAAGAATGATTTCTCCTCTCGCCTTTTTCATTTCTTCTATGCACCTTGTACACCTGTTCTCACACTGTGTGACTTGGTATTTGGTGTTTGCACGGAGAGTTTGTGCTCCATTGAATATTTCTTAAGCAAAAGACCAGGCAACTACAGGGTACCTGAATAAAGTATGGAAGCCCTCTGAGGCAATCTCTACTATCACCCGCTTACTTCATCGGCCCATTGACAAACATAAAGATGGACGTGACAGTTCTGCAGAAGTGAAGCCAAAACGTTTGGCCCCTGGTGTCTGCAGTATAGGTCATAAAGCCTGCTGCCATGTAAAAAGATGGGACATTGGCCAAAAAAAAAAAAATTAAACAAAGTACACGTGAAATAAAGTTTTCCCAAAATAGTTTAATAGCATTTAGGTAGTTCTTATCACACGTATGTTCATTCAGTTTTCATTTGTCAGTCAGTCGGTCCAAATCAGTTTGGTTTTAATTCACTATTTGTATCACTACTACATTTCTGAATGCTGAAAGATGGCAGTGGCCATATCCAGGATATTTTGGTTCATTTTTGTACAGTGGGAGGAAGTGAATATGCAATGTCCATCTTTTATATGTCGATGCCTGGGTTCCACTTCAGTCTTGCGTTGTGTATAAGTTGAGACGAGACTACTTCAGCTAGTTAAAGGAACCAGTGGGGCCCACAGTTTAGAGAGCTGTGGCTCTACTGTAGAATCTGTAGTTAAGGTACGTAACTATTGTGTTATTTAGTTAAAACTTTACCCTCTAAGGCTGTTGCTTGTGGGGCTAGGGCCAGCAGGATATGGTCCAAGCCCCCTCTATGCATTGAAAGGCATGGGCACATTTAAAGCACTCAAATTATAATCACTCTGACAAAACACTCAATACAAATACAATAACGATACAATAGAAACGAATAAAAGAGCAGTGAATAGATGATTAAAATAAGTTCTCTTTAAAATCAAACACCTTACATACAAGTGGAAAGTATTGTTTCTGTAACTGCATTTATAGCATTTCTTTACTCTAATGTAAACTATCCATGTCATGTGTTATGCTACTGAAGTACAAACAAATATTATTGGGACCACTACACAAAATTTCTGATTTACATTTAATATTTACATTAGAGACACTGGCATTGACTATCTGTGTAATAATTTGGGCACAATATAGCACATTGACCACACGCTGTCATATACTAGGTTTCGACCTAGTGTTGTTGGGTATTTGTAGAAATGGCATCTAAGCTGTGTAGTTTTATAAGTAATCAGCTAAATGCATCCTGCAACTTACTATTTTAGGGATAATAATGCCTAAATTGCTTATACTTTACTTAATACTGACACATCCTATTAGCATTCCCTCACAAGTAGTTGTACAGCAGATGAAAATATTAACAGTGAAAATGTTTGGTCGGAAATAAGTCTGTGTATACTATGGAGTCATCAATAGCCTGTTGTGGAAATTTCTCTGCTGCTGGTGAAGAATGAAATAGAGAACTTCTGTCGGCTGACAGTTTTATTTTCTTTGCAAAGAAAAGGTCAATCAACACACGAGCGGTCAAAGATGAAGAAAGACCCCGAACACGGGGAGATCTAAACATTTATACCTGAGGACCACCTCTTTCACACCCCTTTGTCTGCTGTAGGGGTCTGGCCCTCTAGGAAGTGCCTTCCCACCCCTCTGCCCACTGCAGGCATCGGGGCCGACCCCCTGCTGGTGTGTTTTACATATGAGGTGTCCTGCAGGATCTTGCATTCAGGTGCAAAGCCAAGTCCAGACATCACAATCTACAAAACACAAAAGGACCTGGCATCTTGTGTTAGGAAGGGGGAGGTTGGGCATCTGCAGTGGCTGAAACAAAGAAACTGAATCTACCATTACAAGCCAATGCACACTCAGTGTCCATCCTGCATTACAGAAAGGAAGCGTTGAGTAAGTATTAGCCGTCTTTGTTTCATGGGTCTAGATGTGGTGATGGTTCATGTCAAGACTGTCAAAACTCACAGCAGCGGTTGTTGTGTAGTAGTTTTGCCAACCAGTAACAATGGGGTCCAGCTCCCCCAGCTATTATTATATCTTATATTATATCTAACCATAAGTGGACTGCCTGTTCGAACATACATAACATCAATTTATATGAAAAATTTCACGCCCTCTTGAGAACACTAATATGAGGGCAGTGACAATTTGACGGTCATCTTTTGCATTTTTTATTAAATACAAAAGTTTAAACAAACACCAAAGTTTCACAGAATATATTAAATTCATTTTAATTTCAGTTGGATTTCATTTAGGGTAGAATGTCTGAAGATGTGCTGTAACAAACTCTAAGGCAAGCAGTGTTATTGTAGCTATTGGATATCTAAAGAAGATGCAGCATCCAGTGTTAACCCGTTCCCCTCAAGCTCAGGTGAAAGTGAGGTTACCGAATTGCGATGAGAGGGTTCCTGATCCACACAGTTATTATCCCACATACCACATGAGAGAGCAGGGCTGGGTACATTTAGTCACAGCTGTTCTTTCCCATCACTATAACTTTGAAACCTAAGCCAAAATTGCTAAACACCGTAAAACAAGCAAGGCTCCTTTTCTCAACAGCTTTGAGCTTGTTTGGAGACACTCCCTACTCTAGAGACGTCATAGAGCAGTAATGGGATAGCTCACTTGGCCGATCCAGTTAGTCTTCTCTGAAAGCGCTGTGACAGTTAGGTCCATTCAGGCTGATGAGAACGCTTGGCAAGAGGAATTTCACCAGACAGGAAATTAAAAGAAAAAAACAGTGATTATCTTGAGGCTTATGCAGGGGCTGGAATTGCTGTGTGCCTAAAACCTCTGTTGCTTATTGAAGAAAAAATTGTCTCTCCCTAAAAAACATCAAATGTTTGCCTCCTCGTTGCATAATGACATTTGTACAACAGAGAGGGTGAATGTTGTCTTTGCTTTCAGAACATATACACTGATCAGCCAGAACATTATGACCACCTGGAGCCATTCAAAAAAGGAAAACCACAGCACCTTTTGTAGGCAAATTTTGACATGTGGTAATCATCATCCATACAGCTGTGAGCTCACTTTGAACAATGAGCTGGCAGCATATGTGATATTGTCACTGCGTGGGATGGAAAAGGCAGGCAGCTGCTGGCTCTGTGAGCAGGCATCTTCCCAGCCTACATGTAGATCCAGGAATCTGCAGGCTGGTTAGATGGTTGTCACATGTCTGGCTGTCTTCATCAATCAGCAACTTCTGTCACCTTCCTGGAAGACCATCTGGGGGTAGTTGTCATATATCAGTTATTACTTGAGCTTTCCTTGAAGGCTTTTCACCCACATACAGCAACGTATATTTCAGTTTCAATTGTCATTGTCTATATTATCTTCAAAGATTATCTTCAAAGATAATATAGATGTGTGAAAATGAATCGTATGCGTATGCATGTATGCACTCACTCACCTAAAGACTTTCAGTTTGTAATAGGGCTTCCTTTGCTTTTAATGGATAGCACAGCTGTAAAATGAAAGGGGAGAGGGGTAATGAAACGCAACAAAGGGCCACAGGTTGGACTCAAACCCATGGCCATGGCAGCAATGCCTTGGTACATGGGGTGCTATCAGTGCGCTCCTTGTTTGGTTTTAAGAGTGTGTTACTTGCCATTTGACCCCATCTCCTGTGTAAATGAAAATGCCTTAGAAGGCTATGCAAATGTAGACAACTAACAAGTCTAAAGGTGCATACTAAAATGAATGGACTAATGGACTTCATAAGGGAACAAAATATGGACTTATGGCCTTTGGTCTTCTTTCAATGAAGAAATACTCTCCAGTTCTGATATAACTGCAGCATATACGCTAACCTCTTTAGCAGCCGCCATTATTGTCCAAAACAATGTGATTGGACACAAGTGCATTGCTCAAAGCCTGGTAAGGTGGATTCTGGTCTGATTTTGTGATCTCACAAGTCCAGCTTGAGTACTTCTGTCATCACTTGGTTTCATTCATATCCATAAAACTTATTATCGCTCTCTTCTAAATAATTTTTACAACCTTCTAGTTGTTATCTCTGCTGTTTAGAAACAGTGTTGACAATGTTCACTCCTCTGATGGACTTGCTTCCTTCTTGGACGTTCAGCCCAACAATGTCAAGAGCTTGTGGGAAATGGTCTACGTCAGTGGTTCTCAACCGGTGGGGCGCGCCCCCCCAGGGGCGCGAGTAGGCTACAGGATGGGAGGAAAAAAAAAAAACTGATGTTACTGGAGACTTTTGTGGTGTTTGGAGACTGACGTGAAAGCACGTATCACTCTGCAGTTACTGTGCTCAACGAGCAGCGGGTGCTGCCGTGAGCCCCTCCCCGGTCCAAAGCACTCACAGGCGGTCAGTCTCTGTAACCTCGCGCAGCAGCCTGCAGTCAGAGCAGAGAGGAGACACACACCACTCCGCGTCCAGGCTGCAAATGAATCGCGCATGCGCATGGCCGCCGCCGTTCCCGCCCTGGCTCACAGAGCGGGGTTTAAATGTAAATGTTTCTTCACTCACACACAAAAAATACAACACTGCGCGTAGCTCCATTCACTCTCGTCTAGTCTCTTGCCAAGTTCGCTTGTGCCAGCTCTCGCTACTCTATCTATTATCAATCTCTATCATTTTCTTATACTCCAAAACCCAACAGCCTTTTTAAAGACTAATCCCACAAACAGTCTTTTTAAAGATTATCCCCATCTCAGTTATTTTCATGTTTTTATGTTTATTTTTTAACTGCAAGGCAGTGCACTTAGCTAACCACCCCTCTGCCTTTTTCACCGTGTTGCACACACACACACACACACACACACACACACACACACACACACACACACACACTCACTCACTCACTCACTCACTCACTCACTCACTGACAAAGGACTACAATCATCAAGTCTTAAAATAAAATCTGCATTGCCTGTAAAATCGTTATTTTGTTTATTAATTTTGTTTTGTTTGTATAAAAGATCGTGCCTAAGTCCCAACTGATTAGCCCCCAATACTAGTCTCTCAACATAGTCACACACACACACACACACACACACACACATCGTTACATCATAGCCTAAACTTTATTGAAATCACAACTAATCCACATCCAAATTATTTCAAAACCAACACAAATGGAGAGATTTCTAGTGAGGACCAACAAGGCAACCGACGCACCACCAGCTGCAAAAAAGCTTCGAAGGTACGATGAAGCATACCTGCAGTTTGGGTTTACAGTCAAGGCTGATCTGAGACCTCAGTGTGTCGTGTGTGCTGAGGTGCTGGCAAACGACAGCATGAAGCCCTGTAAACTAAAAAGGCACCTCGAAACAAAGCATGCTGGCATTAAGGATAAACCGGCTGAATATTTTAAAAGAAAGCTTGATGGCCTCCAACAGCAACAGGCAACCATGTCAGCGCACAGCACTGTGTCTAAACAGTGTTTGGAGGCATCGTATGTAGTGGCCAAAAGAATAGCCAAACTGGGTAAACCGCATACAATTGCAGAGACTCTCATTTTGCCGGCTGCGCAAGACGTGCAGAATAATGATAGGAGATAGTGCAGCAGCCAAACTCGGTGCAGTACCACTGTCCAATGACACAGTCGCTAGGAGAATTTCAGACATGTCTAATGATATCAGAGAGCAACTGATTTCATTCATAAAAAAGAGTCCTTACTATGCGCTGCAGCTGGAGGAATCCACTGATATTGCTGGGCAGGCACAGCTCCTCACCTATGTCAGGTATCTGCGGGACAAGGCGATTGAGGAAGATGTCCTGTTTTGCCGGCCTCTTCAGTCGCACACTACAGGAGAAGCCATATTCAATGTCCTTGATGTTTTTATCCGTGAAAATGGTTTGGCTTGGGACCGATGCGTTGGCCTATGCACGTATGGTGCGCGGGCAATGACGGGCCGCGAGCGCGGCCTAGCTGCTCGCGTTCAGCAAGTAGCTCCACTTGTGAAATGGACACATTGCCTGGTCCATCGCGAAGCACTAGCTGCTAAAAAAATGCTGGTTCTCTTTGACTCTGTGCTGAATCAGTCCGTGAAAATGATAAATCTCATCAAATCACGGCCGCTAAACTCTCGCTTGTTTGGGGTCTTCTGCCAGGAGATGGGGTCAGGGCACGAACAGCTGCTTCTGCACACTGAAGTTCGCTGGCTCTCCAGGGGGCGGGTGTTACAGCGGTTGTATGAGCTGCGAGAGGAGGTGAAGTGGTTTTTGACAGAAATCAAATCAGATCTGGCGAAGCATCTGGATGACACTATGTGGCTTGCGTCTCTGTCCTATTTGGTCGATATATTTGACCGCTTGAATGGCCTCAACCTGTCTTTGCAAGGCCGCGAAACTCATATTTTGCTCCTTGCAGACAGAGTGGACGCCTTCACACAAAAACTTGACCTCTGGCATGGCCGCATCAGTCGAGGGAACTGCGACATGTTCCCCAGCCTTGCAGACTTTATCATGGATGCAGGCACGTCACACGATTTCTCCTCTCTATTTCAATCAGCGTCTGAGCACCTGTCAGAAATGAGAAAACAATTTGCGATGTACTTTAAGGAGGATTATCGCTCTTTTGCGTGGGTTCGAGATCCATTTGTGTGCACAGCAAACGAGCTGTCAATTGATATGCAGGAACAGCTCATTGAGCTGAAGAGTGACAGTAGGCTGAAGCAAGTCTTTACCTCCTGCCCTCTTTCGTCATTCTGGGCAGCACTGATGCAGGAATACCCTCAACTCTGTGACGTCGCCTTGAAGATTCTCCTCCCTATCGCGTCGACATATTTGTGTGAGGCAGGATTCTCAAAAATGACTGCACTCAAAACAATGTACCGCAATCGTGCACAAATCGAGGATGATTTGAGGCTATGTTTATCAGACATTGCTCCAAGAATTGAGGATCTTTGCAAGGCAAAGCAGGCTCAGGTCTCACATTAACATCACCTACCTGCAATCTTCTGTCAAAAATGCAGATGATATGCCTACTATAAGGCCTAGTAATAACACTACTAAACACACACTAATAAAGAATAAATTCATATCAGAGGTCTGGTGCCAATTCCCAATTATAGCAATAGCCTAGTAATGATAATAGGCCTACTGATGATGATAATAATAATAATAATAATAATAATAATAATAATAATAATAATAATAATAATAATAATAAAGCATGTAACCTCATATAATTATATAGCAATAGCCTAGTAATGATAATAGGCCTACTGATGATGATAATAATAATAATAATAATAATAATAATAATAATAATAATAATAACAATAAAGCATGTAACCTCATATAATTATTTCAGCAATAGCCTAGTAATGATAATAGGCCTACTTATGATAATAATACTAATAATAACAATAAAGCATGTAAATTCATATAAGTATATAGCAATAGCCTAGTCATGATAATAGGCCTACTACTACTCATAATAATAATAATAATAATAATAATAATAATAATAATAATAATAATGCCTGCAAGCTCACATTAAAAGTCTGGTGCTACTGCCAATTATAACAATAGCCTAGTAAGGATAATAGGCCTATACCTACTGCTACTGATGATAATAATAATAATGTGGCCCTAAAAATAATAGCCTAGCCTAGGGCTATCTATCCATCTATCCATCTATCCATCCATCCATCCATCCATCCATCCATCCATCCATCCATCTTGGTGTAGTGGGGGTGGCGCCGGGAAGGGGGGGGCCGGACTGCAATGAACCAGCTTTGGGGGGGCCCAGCTTGACTAAAAATATTGAATGGTTATAACATCTTTGGAGAATGTTTTGGCCTCATGTGACCAGAGCAGTTTATTTTTGTCGGGACAGTATTGACTATGCTGTGACATCACATCAACAAATCAATCTTGACTGTGAAGTCATCAGAATAGGACGTACTATAGCACCTGATTATGACTTAATGTGATCTAAAAGATTATCTTACCTCATGTCTTTCTGCAGTGTATTCTGTCTCAGCCTAAGTTCTGGGGTGTAGAAGTCACAGCTCTTTGCCTCAGGACCAAACTGGAAAAAGGGAGGTCCCGATGTGTTGAGAGAGCCATGATGCAAACCCAGGTAAGGAGATATGTTTGGGGGATTCTATTTCTATATTTATCTGTCAGTAGAGGCATCAGGAGTACTGTAAACCATTTTTACATATTGGGATCCAGAATATACCTGTTCTACTTATGACTTATGAAAAAATTCTATAAAAGACAGCAAAACACAACTACTCAGGGAAACCTAAAGGTAGACAGACTGCAGGCTGTGCACTGGCCTGCAAGGGCCTACCTTACAGAGAGGATATTTTCTAAACCGTAGCAGCTTATTGGAGAGCTATTTTTTGGGTGTTTTACATATGCCCATAAGGATAGTGTTTGAGACACAACATCTCACCCAGAAAGAGAGAGACACATGGCAAAACACAACACAAAGGTCCCATAAGTGAACCAGGAAATTGTGTTTAGACGGTATGAGTCCTAATTAACAGACACCCTCGACAGAACTTTTATTTAAAGCTATAGGATATAGTGGCATCTAGCGGTGAAGTTGCAGATTGAAAACACTTTTGAAGCATGAAGGAGAAACTATGGTGGCCACAAAACTCACCAAAAACCCTATTTAGAGCCAGTGTTTGGTTTGTCCACTCTGGGATACTGTAGAAACATTGCGGTTTAACGTGACAGGCTTTGTAGATCGATTGTAGGATCCACTCCCTCTGTAGATAAAAACAGCTCATTTTAAGGTAACAAAAACACGATTCTTGTTTTCAGGTGATTACACACTAATGAAAACATACCTATGAATATTATATTCCATTTCTGACAATAGACTTTCCTAAATGTTACCCACTGGACCTTTTAAGAGGTAATTGAGTGTCAGTGAGGAAAACATTGAACTACAGACAGATCTCCACCCACACTTGCAGATCTCGCAGATTGTTCTTGTACACATTCACAAATGTGAGTATGCACACATGAATTGAGACAATTTTGCATTATTGACCCCATAGATTTGATATCTAGTCAACAAAAATCATGTTATTATTATTACATTGGATAATATACAATTGTCCATGATGGCTTTCAGCTTCCCTTTCATCCTCTTCTCAGTCAAAGGCAGATCATAGCATATACTGTAGCAGACATTTAAAGTCAATAGAGGTGACTGGTATTGTATCTGCTGTAATCAGATCCCAGTCCGTAAAAGTGAGTCGAAGTGAGGTCACTGAATGGTAAAATACAGTATTCAACAGTGCAAAGTTAATTTTGTGGATATATCATAAATCAACATACCCAGCTGCAGAATGTAATTTCCTGTTTTACTTTTCTAGGTAATAGTAGACCACTTTGAAGACAAGAACTGTCCTGTGACTGATCGGCTCAAGGTCTTCTACTGCTGCCAAGCCCCGCCCAGATGGGCTGTCCAGGTAGCAAACATTCATGAGGACAATTACCAGCACTTCTCTGTGAATTTGAAGTAACCAGATTTGGTGGAATGTGGAAGTATAAGAGCAGGTGCTGGGCCTTCATCATATTTACAGCCCATATGCTGTACCACTATTTTCACTGTGTAAACTGCAAACAAAAGAGCACTAGTAGGTAGAAGTAGACCAGGGCTTGTTCTTTGGGAGCCTTTCAGTGCCAGTTAAAAGTGTTATGGTAATCCATCTGTGGGCTAAATAATCGACCACAAGATGGAGCTACTATTTTGTATTAATCACAGAATAAAAGTTGGGAAGAGGCTTACTTCCAGAAGACAAACATTTTCTCATTTGGAGATTTTGTTTGATATTTAGGTGCTACCCTCAGGACAAAATGAGATCCCAGATACATTTTTACACTGGTAGGACAATAGGCCATACAACATATACATTGTTAATTCTGTACACTCACTTTGGTATTGTGGGTAAAATAGCTAAAGTCACTTTTTCAGGGTTGGAGTTAGCAATTGCAATACTTCCTTTTGTATTGTTCTGTCTACGTACAGATGAGAAGAGAAGTCTGCACTGTGTAACAATGCAAACATTGGTAAAAATGCTGAAGCAGCAATGGAAATTCACCACGATAAATTGTTTATAGTGTCATCCCATCACTTTTTCAGGATCTCATGTTAATTAACGTTCAGTGTTCTTCTATACAAGGTCTTACAAACAGTCACAGTTCATACAGTTAAATTGTTTACTGTAAAACAGCCGTACTCCTGATAAATCCTCTGCTTCCTCTGTCCTGTCAAGTGTATAACTACAGTTTTTAGATTTGCTACTTAAATATTAACAATATTTGCTACAGTGACTTTACGTGCATGAACATGTTTCAAATAACTGAAAGCAAAAGCATCCTCTCTAATCATTAAAGTAAATTGTTTAAGAAACCACTCATAGATCAACACAGCACAGATAATCACCTGGAAAGCTTGTGCTGCTCGACATAATTGCCTGTTAGGCTATTTCTTGCAGATGTTAAAGTAGGATTTATAGAATAGTTATGAACCTTAATAATACAAATGAACCTAACTTGAACTCAACCTCTGTATTTGTATTAATATTGTAATTAATTTTGGAATGGAAAGAGCAATGAGTAGAAAAAGCAGTAATAGAAAGATTTAGACTTGTGCTGGAGAGAGGGAGAGATTAGAAGGGGAGGAGACATCACCCAGGCGGTATAATAACTGATAACAGCAATAAAGCTGAAATGGAGGAGTCACTATTGCCGCCTGAGGACTTTAAAGTGTGATGAGGTGGAGGATTGCAGCAGGTGCTTTTTCATTCTGGAGAACCATGGCCTGCATGTAACAAAGCACTGAAGGCCCTTTTATGACTGGGGCTGGCTTTCTGGTTATCTGTGTGTTCTTTGTTTTCATGAACTATATAATTTTTATGTCTTTGGAGTAAGGGCATTTTTGCACATTTCAGGCTTGTAACTACATGCACACACAGTATATTTTACATTACTGCTGATCGTATTCTAAAGTATGCCATACATTTTACAACTGATTCCCTACCTTCATCATTAATTTTACTGTGGTACACAAAACGTTCAAATATGGGGGACTTCCGGTCCAGAGTAGCAGCGTTCGGTGTGAGCTCCCACTTTGTCGATGCATCTCCGCGGTCTCGCTGCAGGAGCGTCTGGATGACCAGGAGGATTGTGGCAGATGTAAAAACCTCAGAATAATCGGCCTGCCAGAATCTTCAGAGGGCTCCTCTACCATACCATTCATGGAGTCGTGGCTTCCCAAAGTTTTGGCACTGACCACCAAGGAAGGGAAAATAAAGCTGGAAAGGTGCTGGGGGCCAGCGAGGCAGGGAGCCGACTCGCGCAGACCTTACCCCCGCGCTATGATTGTAAGATTTCATCACTACAGCGATTGGGAAATCAGAAAATATTTCTCCAGGTTTTCTCCAGCGGAACTAAGAGGAAATGTCGGGCTTTTGACGAGGCCAGAAGGAGGCTCCAGTTGCTCGGACTACACACCTATGAACTATCTACCTAAATTATCCTGCAACTCTGAGGATCACCGTGAATAACACTACCAAGTCCTTTACCAAGCCCGATGAAGCTATGACATATATAAACACACTGGGTGGTGAAAACATTGTACTGGACGACAGTGTCAGCGCTGTGGTGGGGCATTCGAGGGCCATGCCCCCCCTAGTGGTCATTAATGCCCCTCCTACCACAGGCCATGGCGTTGCCAAAAAAATATCCCTTTTAGTTATTCTTTTAATATTAAATGTGCAAACTGTAACTTAAATGAAATAAAATGAAATGAACGGGGAAAACGCATCATTTTGGTTGTGCATGCATATCAATGAGCATTGACCAAGCCTAGTACTTGGTCAATGCTCATTGGTAGCTGAGTAAACTTGTTATATTTGATTTCGCTTTCTAAACGTAACGTTGAGCTGCAGGGCGCAGAATCCATTTCAAGTTGTTGGTTGGAATCGAAAAAAATACGGTACACAGTTTGTCCGTCTATATCATAGACAGTTAGCCTAATTATTGACAAAAATTTGATTTATGAAAATGGCTTAGACCTCCTCCTCCTCAGCCTCTTCCAGCAGCAGACTCTGACACTCCATTCTCCACCACCAGTACAGCCCGGTCTCTGAGAGCCGAGCTGGCCCTTCTGCTAATGCTAGCTCCGGACAACCGCCAACGGACTTAACCAACGCAGCCATAGAGCAACAATCTACAAGCCCTCCAAGTCAGCGATGATGATCTCGGGACTGACAGACCTGTCCAAATTGTGTTAAAACTGTATCCTGTAACTGTTTACAATGATAAGGGGCAATCATTTGATAAGTGGTTTCACAACAGAGAGTGGTTTTGCTGTCGGATGTTCAGCTTCACTAGAAAATCTGGAACATTGAATGCCTTCGTGAGTGTGGGCTATCGTACCTGGAAACACGCCATGGCCAAAGACCGTGGATTTCATAAACATGAAACTTCGAAGGACCACATGTCTTGCTATGCAGTGTGGAAGGAGAGGGAGATGTGTCGCAATACAGGGAATGAGGTATCAACCCTTGTCAATGCAGATCAACTAAGGAAAAAACGGTATTATGTGTCCTCACTAATAGATGTTGTTGGGTTCTTGGTTGAAAACCAGTTGCCGCTACGGGGGAAGATTGATGCTTTTGATGACATGTCGGAGGGGGGGTCTGGACTTAAAAGGATCCTGAATTGGCTAATGTGGTGAAGACAATCCCTCACAATGCCACTTACACCTGTCATGATATGCAAAAGGAACTTTATAGGAACACTCAGTAATGTGGTGACAGAGGCCATAATGGAGGAAGTTGGTGATTCCTATTACACTTTGAAAGTTGAGGATGAAAATATATCGATTGTGCTTCGGTTTGTGAATGAGTCTTACGAAGTTACAGAGCATCTACTGTGCATTGCTACGGCTCAGAAAAGTGATGCACAGACATTAACTGACAACGTTCTGACTGAGCTTAACAGGGTTGGCCTGGATAGCTCAAAAATTCTGAGTCAGCTATATGATGGAGCTTCGCTTATGTCGGGGAAACGTGGTGGTGTTCAGAAAATTCCACAGGAGAGACTTGGACGTGAGAGGGCATCTTGCCACTGTCTCAGTCATTCTTAAGTCATTTAATTGCATAAAATCGATTCTAGCCGATGCTGTGCTGAACTATGGCGCAGAGACGAGAATGGAAGCTACAGGTCTGCTGCACGAGGTATCTGAGTCCTTCCACAGAGTTTTTTTTTTTTGTTGTTTTTTTTTCCAGTCACAAGGTATAGCACATGGAAGGAACTAGATTATGGACTTAAGGCAATGACTGATCCTTGCTAGATTACATTTTTTACAACTACCATGACTAATTCTGTACATGGAATAGCCGAGGCATACATCATCCTGTGAAAAGAAAAAAAAATATTGACATATCTAAAAAAAGAAGGGGTTGATATAGCACTACTTCAGGAAACACCTGAAAGACAAAGAACATGAAAAACTTAAACGGGAATGGGTGGGACAAGTATTTTTTTTGTCTTTCACGTCCAATAGCAGAGGAGTTTGCACTAAACAGGCATGAGCAACAGCTGATGTTTGTGAAGAACTAGGCTACCTGGATGTGTGGCGATCGTTAAATCCAAACAACAAAGAATTCACATTCTTCTCTGGAGTGCATAAAAGTAGCTCTAGAATAGACTACTTTTACGTTTTTTTCCCTAAAACAATGTTGTATTCTGTCTCATCTTGCGATATTGGGAGCATTACGATATCGGACCATGCCCCGGTTTACTTAAATTTCTCACATGGAGAGGCCCGATTGAGTAAATGGCGGCTTAATAGTCATCTGTTGAATGACCCAATTTCATATATTTTTTTCAAACTGAGTTTCAGCTATTCTTTTCCTGTAATAACACAACTGATGTATCTCCTTCTATTTTATGGGAGGCGTGTAAGGCTTATTCAAAAAAAAGCGTCAAGAAGAGCAACAGAAACTAGAGCTAGTGTGAGAAGGCATATAACCAGACCCGTACCGGTACTAATCTTAAAGCAACTCTGGCCACAAGAGCAACACTTAACTCACTGCTCACTCACAAGGCAGAGCAGAGTATAAGATTTTAAGGCTGCTCAATTAATTGAAATTTGATCATGATTACGATTTTGGGGCCCAACGATCTCAAAACTAATAAAATAGGGGGGAAACGTTTTTTTTTTCTTTCATTTTCTGTTGTGCAACGTTGTATAGAAATAAAAGCTGTGTCCCAATTCAGGGATGCAGCCCCGGAATTGGGACACAGCCACAGTCTGCGTATTTTGCGCATGCGTATTTCCGTCCCTCCCCCACAGCATGCACTGCACGAGTCAGTCACGTTGTTTTCGTTGGAACAGGTAAAGCGGCCAGGTACACTTGTCTGAATGGAACATGACAGAAGGAGGATTACAGCGCAGTTTGGTCGACAAGAAAGGTAGAACAAGCTCTATTGTATGGGAACACTGGTTTTGAAGAAAATGATGAAGAACAAAAACGTGATGTGCGAGCTGTGGTAATAATAATAATAATAATCGTTTGAATAATTGTGATTTCAGTTTTGACCCAAATAATCCTGATTATGATTTTTTCCATAATCAAGAGCCCTATAAGATTTGCAAGGCAAAAACTATATGAATTTGGTAACAAACCCAGCAAGTAGCCAGCCTGGTCATGAGTAGATCTGATTCTCAGAACATATCTTCAGTCAAAGATGTCTCTGGGCAGGTGGAAATGGATAGCAATGGCATAAATAAGGTTTTAACAGAATTTTATGAAAAGTTATATACGAGTGAGCAGCCAGCAGGGATTTCTAGACACATGGAGAGCTTTTTCTCCTGTCTGAATCTGCCCAAGCCTAATGAACAACAAAAGAAGTATTGAATGGACCTATAACACTAGAAGAAGTAACTGAAGCAGTCGGTGTTTCACAATCAGGAAAGGCTCCAGGTCCTGATGGCTTTAGCCTTGGGTTTTTATAAACGTTTTAAGCCGTTGTTGGTGAAGCCTTTACTTGCCATGTTTAATCACTCCTTTGAGAAGAGAGCTCCTCCCAAAACACTTACGGAAGCAAACATTAGCCTGATTCTTAAGAAGGATAAACCAGCTGATGTGTGTTCATCCTACCGACCTATCAGTCTACTAAATTTAGATTTCAAGATTCTGTCTAAAATACTAGCCTTAAGGCTTGAGAAAATCCTTCAATTTATCATTAATAATGACCAGACAGGGTTTATTACTGGAAGGAACTCATGTAATAATGTTAGGTCAGTAAAATAATCTTAAAGGTATGGCAGTGTCATTGGATGCACAAAAAGCATTCGACCGTATAGAATGGGATTTCACACTCAAGGAATTTGATTTAGGTAAATATTTTATTGAATGGGTCGAGTGGCTTTATCATAATCCACTAGGGGCTGTTATAACAAATGGTAAATGTTCTCCCTACTTTGCTCTGGGGAGGGGCACGCCCAAGTGTGTACCCCTTATCACCTTTGTTATTTGCGATCGCAATCGAGCCACTGGCAGAAGCCATTAGAACCCACTCTACTGTTCATGGTATATCGATTAACCACAGACAACATAATATTTCCTTGTATGCTGATGATGTTTTATTGTTTATCACTCAACTGGAATATCTGAGTTTAGTAAGTTTCCTGGTTACAAAATAAATTTCAGTAAGTCAGAGGCCATGCCATTGGGTCAGGTGCACCACTCCCTTCCCCCCAGCTTGTCACCCTTCAGATGGGCAACAGAAGGTTTTGTTTATTTAGGTATATTTATTACTCCTCTGCTGCAAAGGATGTTTAAAGCAAATTTTCAGCCTCTGCTTAAACGCATCCACGATGACCTAGAGAGGTGGTCTTCTTTACCACCCTCGATGCTGGGAAGAATCTCTTTCATTAAGATGAATATTTTACCACGGCTTCTCTACAAATTGCAAATGATCCCACTCCTACTAAATAATAATACTATCAAGACGGTGAATGGTTGGTTCAGATCATTTATATGGAACTGCAAAAGACCACGACTTAAATTAGCAAAATTGCAATTGCCATCGGGTCAGGGAGGATTGGCAATTCCCAACATTAATTTTAAATGGACCTGTACTTGTATAGCGCCTTTCTAGTCTTCCGACCACTCAAAGCGCTTTTTACACTACGTGCCACATTGACCCTTTCACACACATTCACCCAGTGATGGCAAAGTCCATCGAACAGAAACTAACATTCATACACATTTACACACCGATGCACGGCATCAGGAGCAATTTGGGGTTCAGTATCTTGCTCAAGGATACTTCGACATGTGGCGCCAGGAGCTGGGGATCGAACCCACAACCTTCCGATTAAGGAATGACCTGCCTCTGAGCACAGCCGCCCAAACATTAGACTGTATCAAGTGGCTTCTCAATTTCGATATCTAGTAGATTGGGTACACGGAATAACCTGGACTCTGTCTGGCTCAACATTGAAGCATACAACTTAGGTAAACCGTTACAATTAGTAAATCTCCTCCCATTTATCCTGAATCGGAATTAACTAAAGGTTGCAGATGGTAATTTCATTGTTAAAACCACACTAAAGGCTTGGGACATAATTAAGAAATGGGGAAAACGGGGAGAACTGATGTTTTATCTCCAATTACTCCAATACAAAGAAATACAGATTTTCTCCCTGGTATGACAGATAATGGTTTTGCTCTGTGGGAAAGTGCTGGTATCACAGCTTTGAAAGACTTATTTGAAGGGGACAGAATGATGTCATTTGACCAATTAAGATTGAAATACAAGTTATCACACACACATCTTTTTAGGTTCCTACAAGTCAGAAACTTCATACAGAATCAATTCAGCATAAATTTACTCTGGAAATGTCACCAACTGAACAACTACTATACAAAATATATAGCAATAAGGCTATAGTAAGACGAAGCTATGAGGCCTTTTATAAGTCTAATAAGACTAACAATACAATTATGCAAACATGGGCTCAGGACCTTGGGGTGGTAATAGACAAAGCTATGGAGGTGGACATATGGGAGCATGCTAACATATCCATATGTAATAGAGAAAAGGAATCACAATTTAAGTTACTGCATCTCCATCAGATATCACCTGAAATCAGACATAAGATGGATCCAAAGAAATCAGCTTTGTGTATCAAGTGTAATAAGGAAGGGGGGGATAAATGTAAAAAATATACTGTACGTAGGTAATAATCACAATAATGTGTGCCACTCATGTGGCCACAAAATGACAAGGTTGGCCAGTTGGTCCAGAGTGAAATATCTCATCAAATATTGGATGGATTACCATGACAGATTTTCATAGTTCCTGTACAATGTTTTATAATGACTTGTGTGATCCCAACTTCTCCAGCAATACCACCAGCAGGTGAGTGAAATGTCTCAACAACTATTGGATAAAAGATTTATGAAAGAAGACATTCACATCCCTCTCAGGATGAATTGTAATAAACTTAGAGGTCCTCAGACTTTCCTTGTAGTGCCATCGTTGGGTCAAATTTAAAAATTTTGCCCAATACTTAAACAATTATGTACAATTTTATTATGCAAGCTAAATTTTCATGTCTACATACGTACAGCATGAATTCATTGTTGCTGTGTCTGATAAATACATGCACAGTGATGTTAACAGTATGTACAATAAACACTAACTTTCTGGAAAATTAATTTTCTGTATAAAATAAATAGAAATAATATAAAATAAATTCTACTTGATTGAACTGTTACTTATTGGCTGTGACCAAATTAATGTAATACATTTGCCCAAAACCGCAGTTTATATGTAAGCAAGTGCTGTCATGTATTGTCAGAAAGAGAGGAAGAGACAAGCTCAGTGCATCATGAGAAATCAGCAGTGTAGGCCTATAGTAGCATAAACAAGGAATGGTTCAGGACTCACCTGAGCCAGCCCTAACTATAAGTTTTATCAAAAAGGAACGTCTTAAGCCTACTCTTAAATGTGGAGAGGGTGTCTGTCTCCAGAACAAAAACTGGTAACATTGTAAAGCTGCTAGCATGGTTGTAGCCTCTTATGCTTGTTCTTTCCTCCTCTGCAGAAACAACTGGCCAGCCTGCTGATGGACCTTGGCTGCATCAGTTCAGGTCTGCTCATTTATGAAAAGCTGGAGCTCTGGGAGGATGCAGTTATCTGCTATGAGAGGCTGGGCCAACATGGCAAGGTACACACACACACACGTACACACACGCACACACACACGCACACACACACACACACACACACACACACACACACACACACACACACACACACACAGAACCAAGCAATGAGAGCAACAATGTAGGAAGGTGGAAGAAGACTTTAAACTAGTGATTGAGACCATAAACTCATCAAGAAACTAGAGAACTAGAGTCATTACCCTATAAGACTCAATCCTGCCAGAGTTTTATTTCAGCCCATGGAGCTTTTACATAGATTGCATATGAATATAAATGCATATCATATCTATATCTTAATCACTTTATAAGGACATCTGGAACATTAAGACCTCAGCAACAGCTTGTCCAGTCAGTCAGTGAAACTATAATGTATATAGTTATAACAAAACATTAGCTCAGCAGCTAGAGCTGTCAACAGGATCAGTTTAGACGGTATCTGGTATCTTCAGCCTTAAAGGACAAGTGTGTAGGATTTAGTGACATCTAGTGGTGTAGTTGCAGATTGCAACCAATTAAATACCGCCTACCTTGGTATTATGACGACCTGGGAATAAGAACGGGCTGTGAAGTGTGTAGGAGAAACTACGGTGGCCACAAAACTTGCAAAAAACATGAAACATGCCTGTTCAAAAGATCTTAAATATTAGTTGGCAGGGCCAAATCAGGGTTCTCATTAGCTTTGGTCTTGTTTAGTGCAAGTCTCAGTCTGTGGGGGATATAAAATTGTGACACTAAACCTCCTGTCAAACACACCCCACCACAACTCAAAATTGTGTGAGCATTTTGTGTGCATGTCCACAAGCTTTCAACACAGGGCAGTTGCTGGCTCGGTCCCTAATGAAAGTAAGTAAGTCTTGGAATGTTTTTGTTTTGGATGTAAGAATTGTAACTATAGATGCAATAGGGAACTTCTTACACTATTAGGGACAGAGCCAGTGACCGCTGGAGGGTCCCTATTGTAATTGCTAAAGTTATAATTATTTGCGGTAAACTTTGACTGCTAATTTGCCCCCCTGAACATATATGAAAGTGCAATTTTATTTGGCCGAAGTGGTCAGGCCAGGTGTAACTTAGATATTCTGCGCATCGCTTTCGGGTAGTCCACTAGGCGCTACTATTAAGAAAAGTAGGTTTAGGCTAATAAATCTTGCATCTTTGGTCTCACATTCAAAAACATTATATCCATGCGTTCGGTGAACGGAGCTGCATCTCCCCATATAAGCCACGCCCATTTCAGCCTAATTTTTTTTCGCTACAGCGCGAAAAGTCCATTAAGTACGTTTTCTTGTTCCATCCATGAACTTTTGTCCGATTTGCAGGAAATCTGGAAAGTCGCATCTGGAGACGTCTTAGCAAAAAAATTTTAAGTATTTGATATTTCAAAAAATAAGCACATTATAAAATTAGCACTTCCTGTAGATTTTGGTCAAAACAGGATTTCAATTCAATTTTATTTGTATAGCGCCAATTCATAACAGAAGTTATCTCAGGACACTTTTCAAATAGAGCAGGTCTAGCCATGAGCAAGCACTTGGCGACAAGGGCAAGCAAAAACTGCCTGTTAAAAGGCAGAAACCTAGGACAGATCCTCCGGCTCTAGGTGGGTGGTCGTCTGTCTCGACCAGTTGGGGAGGGAGGGAGGGAGAGAGGGAGAGAGAGGGAGACAGAGACAGACAGACAGACAGCAACAACAGTATTGGCAACGGCAATCTAGCAGGACCATGGCAGGAGGCTCCACCAGGATCGACAAGAACCTGCGAGACGAGAAAGCACAAGAACTCCAGGGAAGAAGTGAAGTTAGTAACATGCATTAATGGAACATGAATGAGTGCAGAAAGAGAGAGGAAGGGAGGAGCTCAGTGCACCATGGGAAATCCCCCAATAGTCTAGGCCTATAGCAGCATAACTAAGGGATGGTTCAGGACTCACTGATCCAGCCCTAACTATAAGCTTTATCAAAGAGGAATGTCTTAAGCCTACTCTTGAATGTGGAGAGGGTGTCTGCCTCCCGAACCACAACTGGAAGCTGGTTCCACAGGAGAGGAGCTTGGTAACTGAAGGCTCTGGCTCCTGTTCTACTTTTAGAGACTATAGGAACCACAAGTAGCCCAGCATTCAGAGAACGTCGTGTTCTAGAGGGGTAATAGGGTACTATGAGCTCTTTAAGATATGAAGGGGCCTGACCATGAAGAGCTTTATAGGTGAGGAGGAGGATTTTAAATTCAATTCTACATTTTACAGGGAGCCAATGCAGAGAAGCTAGTACAGGAGAGATGTGATCTCTTTTTCTAGTTCCTGTCAGTACTTGTGCTGCAGCGTTCTGAATTAATTGGAGCGTTTTAATGGACTTATTGGGGCAACCTGATAATAAAGAGTTGCAGTAATCCAGCCTTGAAGTAACAAATGCATGGATTAGTTTTTCTGCATCTGTCTGTGATAGGATGTGTCTAATTTTTCTAATATTACGTAAATGAAAGAAGGCGGTCCTAGAGGTCTGCTTTATGTGGGAGTTAAATGACAAATCCTGATCAAAGATAACTCCAAGATTCCGGACAGTGGTGCTAGAGGCCAAGTTAATGCCATCTAGAGTAACTATATCTTTAGACAGTGAGTCTCTAAGGTTTTTGGGGCCAAGAACAAGAATTTCGTTTTTTTCTGAGTTTAACATCAGAAAATTGCAGGTCATCCAGGATTTAATGTCCGTAAGACATGTTTGTAATTTAGATAATTGATTAATTTCATTGGGTTTGATTGATAGATATAACTGCGTATCATCTGCATAACAGTGAAAGTTAATGGAGTGATTCCTAATAATGTTGCCTAAAGGGAGCATATATAAAGTAAATAGTATTGGTCCAAGTACAGAACCTTGTGGAACTCCATGACTAACTGTAGTATTTATTGAAGATTCATCGTTAACATGTACAAACTGCGAGAGATCTGATAAATATGACTTAAACCAGCTTAGTGCGGTTCCTTTAATGCCAATTTGATGCTCAAGTCTCTCTAAAAGAATATTATGGTCAATGGTGTCAAATGCAGCACTAAGATCTAATAATACAAGTACAGAGACAAGTCCATTGTCAGAAGCAGTCAGAAGGTCATTATTAACTTTAACCAGAGCTGTCTCTGTGCTATGATGAACTCTAAATCCTGACTGAAAATCCTCAAATAAACTATTGTTATGTAGAAATTCACACAACTCTTTGGCGACTACTTTCTCCAGAATCTTAGAGAGGAAGGGGAGGTTAGAGATTGGTCTATAGTTGGCTAAAACCCCTGGGTCAAGAGTGGACTTTTTAAGAAGGGGTTTAATTACAGCTACTTTAAAGGACTGTGGTACATATCCTGATAATAAAGAAAGATTAATCATATCCAGTAAAGAAGTGCCAATTAAGGGAACAACTTCTTTAAGCAGCCTAGTTGGGATCGGGTCTAATAGACAGGTTGATGGCTTCGATGAAGAAATGATTGAAGTTAACTGATGAAGATCGATAGCAGAAAAACAGTCTAAATATATATCTAAGTTTACATTGACAGAAGTCCCTGAACTTTGAGAGCCACTGATAACTGTTGATGGCAGTTGGTGATTAATTTTTTCTCTAATAGTAATAATTTTATTATAGAAGAAGCTCATGAAGTCATTGCTACTTAAGTTTATGGGGATATGTGGCTCAATAGAGCTGTGGCTCTCTGTCAGCCTGGCTACAGTGCTGAAGAGGAACCTAGGGTTATTCTTATTTTCTTCTATTAGTGCTGAGTAATAGGCTCCTCTGGCATTACGGAGGGCCTTTCTATAAATTTTAAGATTATCTTGCCAATTTGAGCGATATTCTGATAATTTGGAAGAGCGCCATTTCCTTTCAGATTTCCTAGCTATTTGTTTTAACTGGCGGGTTTGGTGGTTATACCAAGGTGCTAGTCTCCTATGTTTTAATAATTTTCTTTTTATAGGAGCGATAGAGTCTAATGTTGATCGTAGTGAGCCTGTAGCACTATCGACAAGATTATCAATTTCAGAGGGACTAAAGTCGTTATAGGACTCTGTTAAATTCAGACATGGCATTGAATTAAACACTGAAGGAATCTCCTCCTTAAATTTAGCTACAGCACTGTCAGATAGACATCTGCTGTAGGAAGTTTTGTCTAATGGCTTATAATCTAATAGTATGAATTCAAAAGTTATTAAATAATGGTCAGATAGGAAAGGATTATGTGGGAAGACTATTAAATGTTCAATATCAATGCCATATGATAAAACAAGGTCAAGAGTGTGATTAAAACAATGAGTTGGTTTATTTACACTCTGACAGAAGCCAATTGAGTCTATTAATGATATAAATGCATTACTAAGGCTGTCATTGTCAACATCCACATGAATATTAAAATCACCTACAATAATTACTTTATCTGATTTAAGGACTAAACTTGATAGAAATTCAGATATGAAATATATGGTCCAGGAGCGCGGTACACTATAACAAATAGAACTGGCTGCAGTGTTTTCCAGTTTGGGTGAGAAAGACTAAGAACAAGGCTTTCAAATGAATTATAATTTAGTTTAGGTTTAGGGTCCATTAAAACGCTCGAATCATATATGGCTGCTACTCCACCTCCTCGGCCTGTGCCTCGAGGAATGTGAGTATTAATATGACTGGGGGGGGTGGATTCATTTAGGCTAACATACTCCTCGTGGGACAACCCGGTCTCAGTAAGACAAAGTAAATCAATATCATAATCTGATATTAATTCATTCACTAAAACAGCTTTAGAGGACAGAGACCTGATATTTAACAGCCCACATTTCATTCTCTTATTTTGTGCTACTGAGGAGTTAGTTTTAATTTTTATTAGATTTTTATGTTGAACTCCTCTTGTTTTTATTTCTTTAAATAATTTAGGTGGTCGGGGGACAGACACAGTCTCTATGGGGTTTTGGGTGGGTGACTGTTCTAAAGAAAGCGCAGAGAAGTGTGTAAGACAGCAGCTCTGCTTCCTGGTC